ACGCATCAACCCTCTGTTTTTGTAACCCAGACTTAATTTAAAACACTCAGCTGGGAGGGAGGGAGAGTGGGAGAGAAACAGAGAGAGAGAGAGGCACACACACACACACACACACACACACACACACAGAGAAGGAAATGAAGGAAGGAAGGGAGGGAGGGAGGAGAGAAAAAAGAAACAAAGAGCTAGCATATGATGGGTGAGAAGAGGACTTATTTTCTTCTTTGCTGATCCTTGAGAAGAGAAGGAGGAGGAAAAGGAGGAATGGGAAGCAAGGGTAGAGGAGGGGGAAGAGGAAGAAAAATGAGAGAAAGAGGAAGAAAAAGGAGAAAGGATACTGCAGTTAATGGGATAAGGGATGAATTGAGATAGGTGAAGAGTGATGGAGCTTCAAGGCAGAAAAAGAAAAATGCATCGGCATTGGTTGCGAATGAGTTAGGAGGCACTGTTGGATATCATGGCTGAACCTTTGATCTGGGCTGCAGACATATCCATCTCCAGGTGCAAGCTGACCTTTGGACTGGACCAAACCCCATACTCCTGAAACATAATAAACAACTTTTAATAAACAAAACATTACTGACCTGTGCAAGGGATACCTTCCCCCAAATTACCCAGAAACTGACACTGAAGGCAATCCCTTCCTTATATGAAAGCTCAAGTTTTGCCAGCACTAATGATAATTCCTAACAAGTGATGCAATTTCAACCCAAAAAGAGCTTGGGTGAGGGGTAGCTCGGTGGTAGAGAGCTATAAATACAAACACCATTTTGTAAAATTGTGGAGTACTCATTCTGGGTGTGCTAATCAGCTTTCTGTCACTGTAACAAATCTGAGAAAATAAATTTAAAGGGAGAAAAGAATTGGAGCTGGAGATTTAGCTCAGTGACACCACGCCTGCCTCACAAGCACAAGATCCTGAGTTCAATTCCCAGTACTGGGGGTGGGGGGGGGAATGGGCCAATGATGTAGCTCAATGGTGTCATGCCTGCCTGGCAAGCACAAGGGCCTGAGTTCAATCCCCAGTACCACACACACACAAAAGTGGGCTGGGGGAGAAAGAATTATTTTGACTCACAGTCTCAGTGGCTGAAGTCTATGGTCACTTGGCTCTGTTGTTTTGGGGCCTATAGCACAGCAGACCATTATAGCTGCAAACACATGGTGGGGGGCAAAGCTGATCACCCCATGGTGGCCAAGAATCAAAGAGAGAAAGGGGCAGAGCTCCCAATACACCCTTCAAACATACACACCCACTGAACTGCTTCCTCTAAGTAGGCCCTACCTCATAATGTTTCCACCACCTCCCAGCAGTGCCAATAGCTGGGAACCATGCCTTCAATACACGAGACTTTGGGAATATTCCAGATGCAAACTATGATACTGGATAACTAGAATACGTGTTTCCCTGCGTGGCCATGGGTGCCTGGAATAAATTAGTTGTTTCTATTTTTGTTGTGCTTCAACTTGGATTTTAGGTTGATGGTTTATATAAGAAAGGCATCCAACAGAGCCTGGGAATGGAGTAAGTCAGACAGGATGAGGATCTGCTCAGAGGTCTTCCACCCACTACTTAGGCTTGAATCTTAAGCAGTGAGAAGATAACCAGAAGAAGTATGTTTGGGAAACAGTACAGTGTGTGTAGTTTCATGGGTGCATAGGATGTGAATGAGATAAAGGCTAAACGTTAAAAATAAATCTCTCTAAATTATTCTTATGTAACACTGATGTCAGAAAAAACAATGATTTTTCTATCTAGTAAAACTGTAAGATTCTTAAAGTGAAGCAGTAAAGATATCTTTTGTCTTTGTATTCCCAGCATCGATTTTAAAGCATACAACACAGTACACACTTAATAAATGACTGATAAATTAATGAGTGAAGAACAAGGAGAGAAGTTGCTTGTGAGTTCCCTCCACCTTAACGCTCTTCCAAACAGTTTGCTCCATATCTCTCCTGAAACGCATGACAACTCTTGTCTCATTCAAGTCACACCTCCTACACACACACCTGAAAAAATCCTGTGAGCTGCCACCTGGCTTCCATCCTACCACATTTTGGATGTAACTGATCCAGGGCAGAATTTATGACAAGAATGAGAGAAAGAAAGCGGGGACTAGATATTCTGTCCCCTGTACCAGTACTCTGTCCCACCTGGGCCAGAACATCTGGGTAGTCCTCCATTACCATCCTAGGGAATCAAGCTGCAGAGAGTATATCCTTGGGGATGCTGCAGTGCAAAAGCTTCTATTTGCATCTCTGGTGTAAGTTGCTTCCTAAACAATTCAGCTCAGGTGAAAATTTGAAAACTATATATTGAATTATTGAGGAAGTTCAATAGCAATTTTTCACAAATTTACAAAACACAGTAGGAGAGAATTTGGGTGAAATACCATTTAAGTGACTTTTTAAAATTTTTTTGGTACTGGGGATTGAACTTGGGTCCTTGCGCTTGCAAGGCAGGCCTCGGAACCACTGCGCTAAATCCCTGGCCCAAGTGACTTCTTTATTCACATCTGATTACCAAGAGTTTCCTAGGGATACAGTGATGAACAAGAGTCGTCTGCTTTAATGGTGCTTATTGTTGGTAAGGAGAGACAATAAGCAAACAGTATGCAGCTGTTTCATATAATGTGTAGGCACTTGACATATTCATTCACTTCATCATTGTAATAACTCAGTGATTCCTATTATTATGACCATTTACAACTGAGAGAAGGATGCATTTTGTATTTAGGAACTGATAAGGAGGCATGAAGGGTGGTTCGGGAGTAGAGAGAAAATGTAGCAAGAAAGCTTAATGTAGTCCTAAGAATAAGAGAAGTTTTTCTAAACAGAAGTGAAAATGAAGATCTAAGGGATGATCTAGTAGACAAAAGATGGCTGAACAGAAAAAACTGTAAACAACAGAAACAACAGATGGAAGATGCTTGAGGAACTGAAAGCAGCAGAGAGAGATCCCAGGATCAGGAGAGGTAGATAGGGACCAGCTCTCCTAGGCTTCTTTCTCTAAGTCTTTAAATAGAATGATGAGGCCAGGGAAACAGATTGAGATTTGGGGTCATGTCCTTAGCACTGTCCACAATATCCTTGGCCAGTTCTCTGTGGCTCAGTGTCCTCGGTTGGGGGTGGGAGATAAAGGTGGATGGTCCAGAGTTCTTAAGTGCCACTAAGCTCTAAAGCTCTGATTCTAGGTCTGCCAGGCAAAGATGTAAACCCTGGAAACTGATGAATACACTGAGGTCCAAAGGCTCAAGAACTCAGTGGCCAGCCAGTCTTGGGTAGCAACCAACCCTCTATAGACTAAGAACATTTGATGAAGAACATCACACACAGTAAACACAATAAACACATCAAACGCAATATTAATATGAGTATAGTTTGTTCCACTCACTTGAAATAAAAGATGAACTGCTAATAGTAGGTATAATAAGTATAATAACTAACTCTTGCCAATGGACAAAACTATATTAACTTTTTTTTAGAAGAGTCTCACTCTGTAATTCTGGCTGGACTCGAACTCAGTGTGTAGCACAGGCTGGACTTGAACCGGCTGCAATCCTCCTGCCTCGGCCTCCCAAGTGCTGGGATTACAGGCGTGCACTATCACACCGGTTTAGCAGTATTTTAATTAACTTAATCAGCTTTATTTTTAATTCTAGAGTTGGGCAGCACTTCATTTCATAAAACAGAATAGTGTTCCAATGGGCTAAAAGGAGGTTGGTTCTACAGACAAAAAGGCTTAAAGCAAGCAGAAACAAAAGGTATGTTGATGGTTTAAAAGATAATTTCTTTGTTAAATGGGGACAAGGATACAGAAAAATAGAAAAATAACTTGTAGTCAGTATCAAATTACTTTTTTTTTCTATAGTATTGAGGATTGAACTCTGATCATACAGCATGCTTGGCAAGAACTTTATGCTGAACTACATAGCCCTTTTTTTGTGTCATGGTCTTGCTATATTGTCCAGACTTCCTTGAATTTGCCACCCTCTTACCTCAGCCTCTCAAGTAGCTGGGATTACAGGGATTTGCCACCACATAAGGCTAGCCTCAAGTTACTTTTAGTTACTTCTTCTTCGTTTGGGTGAAGGCAGAAGGAAGTCTATTATCTTGCCAATGAAGTTAGTTATCTCTCTAACCCAGATTGTTTAGGTCATATAAACTTCTTAGTTTCACTTAGTGACCTGGAACTTTGGGGTAAGTGATTCCATTTTGATTTTTTAGTCTGATATGTGTGTGCTGCAAGTTAATCTAAAACAATAATCTCGTGTGATTTTACATAACACTTTCTAAGCACTGATTTTGTGTCAAGATTGTACCAAATATTTTTAGATTAATTTCCTTACAACAGTCCCTTTATGGATGCAAAAGGTGAGGCTTTAATCAACGAATAACTTTTCTAAAATTTTCATCACCCAAATGTGTCCTGTCTCCTGAGCATACTCAGTGCAGTGTTCTAGTGCTAGGTGTATTGAGCAATGCCTGAGTTTTGCTCTGTGGCTGAGTTGGAACTGGAACTCAAGGCTGACTTGAAAACTCTTGATATTGATCACCATTTGATGCTGCCTTCCTTTCATAAAACCACAGGCAACTCGGCTCTGTAATTAACGTGACATTGTCTCTTTCTGGGTGAGGAAAGCGCTCTTTATAGTTCGGGATTGTCTTGTGTTTACTAGGTTTCTTACCAACATTAGTTAAATCTGTTTTGCCCTTCACTGTCCTTTCACTGTATTCCTTCTCTACAAAAGACTATTAAGTTTATGAAACCACGAGAGAGACTGAGAGAGAGAGAGAGAGAGAGAGAGAGAGAGAGAGAGAGAGAGAGCGCCAGCTAAGAACTTCTTTTCTCTCCCGACATTGGTCTACCTTTCTATAAATAATTGTTCTCTTTCCTTCTCTTAGCCCTCTGAGTACTTTGGTAACAGCCAAATATACGCACGCGCGCGCGCGAACACACACACACACACACACACACATACACAGCCGGGGGCGGGGGGACTTGAGTGACCTTGCGAAGGTATCTAGCCCACTAGGGACAGGATTAGCAAGCTTGAAATTTCTACAAATATTTGGCTTCCTCTCCTATTCCTTCCGAAGCTGCTGGCTCTCTCGCGCCCACCTCACCCAGTACTCATTCAGCTCGATCGACAATACAAAGCTCAGCCCGCCTATCTCCTTTTTGCAAACCCGGAGAACTTCATTCCCCATGTGGAAACTCGTCCGTGGCGGTGGCGGGCAGGACTGGGCATGCTCAGTGGCGGGGACAGGTCTGGGAAGCGAGGAAGCTGCACTGAAGTCGCACGGCCTAGGGATCAGGGGGAGGCGACTGGCGGAAGTCCTGGCTGGGGGGCGCGTGGAGGTCCCGGATTCCGCGCCCTGGGCCGGCATGCTCCAGACCCGCGCCGCCCGCCCGCAGACCGGGGGGCAAAGGGGGCAGGGCGCGGAGGAAGTGGGGGAGTCGGAGGGAGGAGGGGAGGAGCGCCGGGCTCACCCGCCCCCGGCGCCGGCTCTGCGGCTACGGAGTAAGAAGGCGCAGGGAGGATCTGAGGAAATAAAGACGCCCGAGAATGACCTCCAGGGAGGCCTCCTGAGCCGGGGCCCGCTCGGTGCCCCGTCAACCCCGGGCATGGGTGACCGCGGAGGGCAGCCGGAACGGTCGGCCTCACACTCTGCAGGGGTTTCCGTGAACACAGGCACAGCCGCCGTGAACGGGCTGCTGCACAACGGCTTCCACCCGCCGCCAGCCTGC